GACAACCTCTCGTCAATATGCGTTTTTCGCATTGCATTGCTGCAAAAAACGCATAAAAATTGCAAAAACGCATATTGCGACAACCCCAATGCGTGTATATGTGTGTGTGTTCGCACTTTTCGTCACCCACTTTCAACTCGAACCAGAAAAGCTCGAAGGCTGAAACTTTGGGAGTATGTGCTCATGCCATGCGTGACCCTCCCGTTTTAATATCATCTCCTGCGAACGTCTGAATGCGGCGTACGCATGCTTTAAAAAATAAGCAAATTTTCTGGCGGGAGAGAGGTCTCGGGAATCAAAGGTAAGGGGTTGGAATTTTTTAGGAATATTTCCTGTGCATGTGTTAGTTAAAGATTTCAAATTCAGCTCCCAGGTATGCATGGCACTCAAGTAAGGGCGCATGAATATTTTGGTGGTAAAATTGCTAACGTGGGGACCAGGAAAACTAGAAAGCTCAAATTTTGAGAGGATTTTCCCTGTTCAAGTACAAGTCAAATATTTCAAATTCAGCCCTCAGGTATGCGTGGTTCTAACGTACAAGCACGTGATTTGGCAGGAGAATTGTTAACTCAGCAACTAGATAAGCTGGAAGGCTGAGATTTTAGAGGGATGTTCCATGTGCAATTTAAAAATTTCAAATCCAGCTTCCCAAGCATTTTACTTTATGCAAAATTTATGGTGATTTATGCTAGTGACCGAAAAAGGTAGGTGTAAAGCAACAACCATTCATGCAGTTAATGACCAGAGCACTTCAAGTCCGGTGCAAAAAAGCATGATCGCATGGGCCTGCCCAATGCGTTCCAGCCTGGGTTTTCTAGTATTCCAATTTACCGATCCCTAAACAGTTACAAAGTCGCATGGAACTTCATACAACAATTTTGGCTGTTAACTCGAATGAAATAAACTCAAGTCCTTTGATCCGTAAAGCATCAAAATACCCAGTTTCTGTGCTTTCATTAAAAAAGGGTGCATGCAAGTTGCTCAGGATATTTCAATTTTACATTTATCAACACAGCGCAATACTGGAGCACCATAGCAGGCGTGCTTCAGTTGGAAAGTACAACGTAAAGCTTGAAAAAGGCTAAGAAAAAAAAAATTAAAGAAATATTCTCAGACTATGGACGCTATTGGCTACGAGATCAAGCTTGATGCTGTTTGGAATACCGCCATTTTTGATGTGCCGGTGGATCCCGAACTTATGTCAAATTGAGCGCCCTCTTTCGTCATCTGCCTGATTTGCGCAATCTGAAAAATTTCTATTTATTATATGGCTATGGATTATTAGTTTCATGGGTAGTTCAAAAACCACGACGATTGCATTTTGTTTACGAAAAAAAGCGTTTGTACTAGGGCGATATTTGGAACTTGCAAATTGCGCTGTCGTGAAAAATAGCCGCAGAAAATGCAAAAGGCAGAAAAGTGAGAGCAAAAAATAATTTTTCAAGGTAAAGACTGCAAAATTTATCGCTAACACTTAATAAAACATTTCATGAACTTTTCAGTAAATTAATTTCTGAATAAATTTTTTCCGATAAAGTTTACTGGCTTTTTTTAATTTGCTTTATTGATATTTTAAACTAATTTTCAATAAATAAATTTCTAATAAAACTTAACTTTCAATGAATTAATTTTCGACAAAAAAAACACTAAATTTTCTATAAATAAAACAGTAAAAACTTTTCAAATAAAAGATTCACTAGACAAAACATTTCATTAATTCGCTAAAAATTCACAAAAATTTAAAGGATAAGGGCGAGTTGCTCTTCTTCCTGGAGACGATATCAAGAATTTCGTTATGCCAGTTAAAAATCTATCCCTGTACATTCTACATTTTGATGGTAAATTGGTACTGGCATATGCTAGGGAGTTAAAATCCTCATCAATTTCATTTCAGTAGCACTGGGGAAAAGAAAGGCATATGCAAGGGCATCAATTTGGCTCGAAAGAAAGCGATTAAAGAAACCTTCTGGGAAGTTTTATGTTGATAGGTGAAATTATTCTTCGAACTTTTGTACATTTCATATTCGATGCTACGTGATGCAGCTTCAATCTCTGCCTCATTTTTCTTGCCACATAAATTCGCTAACAATGCTGTACAAATTGCTGCCCGTACGATTTCACGACGCTGAAAGTTTGCCAGTGAAGGTTTACCAGTGCGAATAAGGCTCGGCTCAGCTTATCACTATGAATAACGGAGCAAAAATTTAAAAAAATTCCTCAAATATCAGAAAAAACCCAGAGATACTTGGTGGCAAAATATATTTACATTTCCCCATAAAATACACCTATATTTTCAAAATATATACCTACAAAAATATACCTATATTTTCAACCACATATCTATATTTTCAAAATATATACCTATAAAATACACCTATATTTTCAACGACATATCTATATTTTCAACTATATACCCATAAAATATACCTATATTTTCAGCTACATGTTACTCAATCGAGTATTTTTGCAGGGTTACTCAGCCTTTGCATATTTGGAAAGCATGTTTTCTGGACTTCGATAACTCACGGACACCAGTACTCATACCCACAACATATTTTACACAATCTTAGCTTTTTGTAAGAATGCTAGAATGCGTATATTTCAAAAACGTATTATCCGCAGCTGCGGCTATTTAATCGTTCCAACGAACAAAAGGGGTTCCTATCTCAACTTGTCCTGAATATTGTTGAAATTTTAAAGATACAAACAGTGAATATTCCTGGTAAGGAGACTGGAAAAGAACAGGAGCCTGAAATATGTGTTAACATATGCAGTTTGTTTGGCGCTGTTAGCCTACCGTGGAGAGGAAAACAATTGAATTTTGACAATTAACGTGAAAAATTGGAAATGCCACTTAGATCTCCCAAATAAGCAAGCCTGTATGTGCACTAACTTGACAGCCTGTCTATTTTTCATCCCTGAGCTGTAAACACAGATTTTGATAATACTTACTCTGTGACAGCAGCTTCGCATTTTTACCTCATCAATCAGTCGTAGTACAAGGCATGACCTGCTACTACCAGCAATCATCTTCTCTAGCAAGCATATATTTTATAGTGCGTTTAAGTTCGTTTCGTATGAAACTTATTAATAATAAAACGAGAAAAAAAAAGAAAAATACGTTAGCAGTGAGATTGGCAACGGTTTTCGCAGTTGGATCGATAATCGTTAGTTTTGTTGGATCTGAAAGAAGTGTCTGTTAAAAGTGTTCCTGAAACATATAACAAAAAAAAAGGAAAAAGAAAACTACAAATACAGCCTACCTTCCTGGGCAGCATCACGAGTACCCGCCGAGCTTGAACTTGAACACGCAGCGGCCTGCAAAGAAACAAATTTTTTTACAAATAAAATTAGCAGTAACATTAAATAATAATGATGATAAAAAACCATGATTCACTGTCGTAGCTGAAACAGAACTAATGGATTACGAAATTGTCGTTGACACAAAAATCGAACTTATAAACGAAGATAACAGTACTTATGAACTCTACTGCCTATAAATGAAAGAAAAATTGCATCTGGGAATTAACAAGTTTACAGCTGTACCTATGTCCAAAAGTGATTTTGGCTCTGGCAATTTCCTTAAGAAAAAATGCATAAAAAACAAACGTAAAAAAATGCGGGTACATTTTATCCATTTTTCTTCCAAAAAAGCTAATGTCAGTAAGTGCAGTGAACCAGCCGATTCAAACATTTATGAAGGCATAAAACCAAAACCAGCGGTGAACATAAAATGGACCAGAGGAAAAAAATCAACTCGTAAAAATAGTGCGCAAAAACCGCAGAAATTTTTTGAAAGCTGTAAACGTCAATTTCGAAAGATGAAAACGACAGGAATCTAAAAATTGTCTTCCATTCAATTTCAAATTTTTAACTTGTTCTGGTTGAAAAGGGGAGTAAATGAGTGATCCGAACAACATACTTCAGCTCATACAGAAATAAGGTAAAAATAAAGAGAGAGAGAGTAAGCACGATGTTAAATCAAGGAACTGTAAAATACAAGTGAAAATTTCCAAAATTTTCGAAACAGCGTTTTAGTCAAACTCATGGTATGTATTTACGTCAAGTTTGATGAATAAATGCACAACATCAAAAGAAAATCGCCTTTTGAAACCAATCCAAAATAATCTCAAAACAGCCCCACCTTTCTACGTTTTGCAAATTCTTGTTGCACAATTTCGGTGCGACGCCGTTTCTCCTCACTTTCCAACACAGCTTTTCCACTGCCACATTCGTCAGCATCGTACTCTCTCAAACAATTTACATTCAATAGCCGAAAAAAGGAAGATGAGGGTATAGTGCCTACTGCGGCATACCCACTGGCCGATCGGGGGGGAGGGGGGAGGGGAGAGCGTTGGAAAGGAAGAGGCCCAACGGCCCCTTCCCCCCTAGGGACCTAGGTAGCAGCTGTTTTACTGTACAAAAGTC